GGAGATTTGGGGGCAAGGTTTAAATTTTTATGAGGGGATTCAGGGAAACTTGGGAGGCCCGGGCTTGAGTCCCGGAGAAAGGGAAATACAAAACTGCACTCTGAAGGGGGGATATTAAAGTTTTCGTTTTATAACTGTAGCGCATTTTGTGCCTCCCGGCCCAAAACAGTGATGAAGTGCAGATGATGGGAAAATTTTTTTTGGTTTTTGGGCACCCGCCTCAGTGGGGGACTGCCCTTGTTTTTTTTTAAAAAAACTACCAAAATTTAAAGCATTATAAATTTAAAGGGGAATTATAATTTAAACCCCTTTAAAAGGTCCCAAAAAGTTTTATAAATCGTTCTCTCGCGTAGGCCCCAAACGTACATGTATTTACATTTCCCTTTTTTCATTCATTCAGCCTGGCAGGGTAAGCCTGAGTCACCTAACATGGGGGAGAATGGGGTTGTGCGCATCACTGTGCGCCATATGAAAAAAAAATGGGGGATGAAGGGTACTAAATTTCTCTTTTTTTTCCCATTAAAAAAAAAAAAAAATTCTCAAAAAAATTTGGGGGCTACCCCCGAGAACGTTTATATAGTTTTTAAAAACCCTTTAAGGGTTAATAGGTAGTAGGTTGGTAGACAGCAACCCTTCGGGGGGGTTTCTACCGGTTTTTACCAAGTGAGTTGTAAAAATGAAGCCCGTATTTGTTTTTTCATGATGGGAGGGCTGCTGTCTTATAAACATCCCAAAATTTTCAGGTTTTGTTTTTGTACTTCTACTTACACTTAGGTACACTAACATACATGTACACATTTTTGTATACACACCCATCTGAGTATTCTTTAATTTTTATTCCCAAAAGTTTTGTTCTTAGTGGGTTTTCTTTCTTATCCATGGGGGGAAAGGGGGAAAAAGAATCTTTACTTTCGTAAGCCATGCATGTTTAAAAGTCAACTAAAATGCTGGGAAAAAATGGGGTAGTAACCCCTTTTTCCCCTTTTTGCTTACTAAAAAAAAAAGAAAAAAAACCGCCCCAAAATGGGATTTTTGAATGTGCATGGTGGGTGTTTGGGAAAAAGGGGAAAAGGTGATTGTGGATGTTTGAATGGGAAGAAGTGGATTCCCGGTTTAAAATTTTAAAAAAAAGCCCGAAAGGGGGGGGGGACTTTCAGGGGGGGAGAAATAAATGGGATTAGGTTTAGGGGGTTTTTAAAAAGGTTAAAAGTAAAAAAAAGAGTAAACAATAAAATTTTAAGGATAAGTTTATGGCAGGAAAACAGAGAATATAAATGTTTTAAATTTAAAGGGTTAGTGGTGCAAAATAAGGGTTTTATGTGAAAAATTTGGGTTTTTGTAAGTGTTTTTGCACCCGGGGGAAGAGAAAAAGTGTAAGAGGGGAGAGAGAGATTTTGGGAAACGTTGAGTGAGTGCATGGAGAGTTTTGAACCAAGTGAGAGAGTACTTGTGGTTGGGGATCTCAATGCTAAAGTGGGTAAAAATGTTATGGAGGGAGTAGTAGGTAAATTTAGGTTGCCAGGGAGCTGTGAGTAGAAAGAGGTTTGGTAATAAGTAATACATATTTTATAAAAAAGGGATAAATAAGTATACAAGGTATGATATATATAGCACGTAATGAAAGTAGTTTGTTATATTATGTATTGGTGGATAAAAGGTTGACTGGCAGGCTTCAGGATGTACATGTTATAGAAGGGCAACAGATATATCAGATCATTATTAAGTTGTAGCTACAGTTAGAGTAAGAGGTAGATGGGACAGAAGAAAAATGGCAACAGCAAGTAAGAGAGAAGTGAAAGTGTATAAACTTTAGGAGGAGGAAGTTAGGGTGAGATATAAGCAATTATTGGCAGAAAGGTGGGCTAATAAAAGTATGAATATTGTGGGGGTTGAAGAGGGTTGGGATAGTTTTAAAAATGCAGTATTAGAATGTGGGGCAGAAGTTTGTAGCTATAGAAGGGTGGGTGTAGAAAGAAAGAGGAGTGACTGGTGGAATAATGAAGTAAAGGGTGTGACAAGAGAGAAAAAGATAGCTTATGATAGGTTTTTACAAAGCAGAAGTGTAGTAAGAAGAGCAGAGTATATGGAGAGTAAAAGAAAAGTGAAGAGAGTGGTGAAAGAGTGCAAAAGGAGAGCACATGAAAGAGTGGGAGAGGCACTGGCAAGAAATTTTGCTGAAAATAAGAAAAAAATTTGGAGATAAACAAGTTAAGAAAGCCTAGGGAACAAATGGATTTGTCAGTTAAAAACAGAATAGGGGAGTTAGTAGATAGGGAGCTGAAGATACTGGGTAGATGGTGGGAATATTCTGAGGAACTTTTAAATGTCAATGATGAAAGGGAAGTGGCAAATTCATGCACTGGTCAGGGAGGTACAACATCATTTAGGAGTGAAGAAGAGCAGGAGGTGAGTGTGGGGGAGGTGCGTGAGGCATTACGTAGAATGAAAGGGGGTAAAGCTGCAGGAACTGATGGGATCGTGACAGAAATGTTAATAGCAGGGGGGGATATTATGTTGGAGTGATTGGTATTATTATTTAATAAATGTATGAAAGAGGGGAAGGTACCTAGGGACTGACAGAAAGCGTGTATAGTTCCTTTATATAAAGGGAAGGGGGACAAAAGAAATTGTAACAATTATAGGGGAATAAGTTTACTGAGTATACCAGGAAAAGTCCATGGTAGGGTTATTATTGAAAGAATTAGAGGTAAGACAGAGAGTAGGATAGCAGATGAGCAAGGAGACTTTAGAATGAAGGGGATGTATCGATCAAGTGTTTACATTAAAGATTAAAGTGGGCCCCCTTCATTTAAGTAAAGGTAGGGAAATTTTCATTGCATTAATGAATTTAGAAAAGGCATATGATAGAGTGGATAGGGGAGCAATGTGGCAGATGTTACAAATGTATGGAATAGGTAGTAAGTTACTAAATGCTGTAAAGAGTTTTTATGAGGATAGTGAGGCTCAGGTTAGGGTGTGTAGAAGAGAGGGAGATTACTTCCAGGTAAAAGTAGGTCTTAGACAGGGATGTGCAATGTCACCATGGTTGTTTAATATGTTTATAGATGGGGTTGTGAAAGAAGTAAATGCTAGGGTGTTGGGGAGAGAGGCGGGATTAAATTATGGGGAATCAAGTACAAAATAGGAGTTGATACAGTTATTTTTTGCTGATGATACTGTGCTTACAGGAGAGCCTAAAGAAAAGTTGCAAAGGTTAGTGGACAAGTTTGGGAGGGTGTGTAAAGGTAGAAAGTTGAAAGTGAACATAGATAAGAGTAAGGTGATTACGATATCAAACAATTTAGATAAAAAAAATTGTACATCATATTGGAGGGAAGGAGTATGGAAGAAGTGAATGTTTTCAGATATTTGGGAGTTGACTTGTCAGCGGATGGATTTATGAAGGATGAGGTTAATCATAAAATTGATGAAGGAAAAAAGGTTAGTGGTGCATTGAGTTATTTGTGGAGACAAAAAACGTTATCCATGGAGGCAAAGAAGGGAATGTACAAAAGTACAGTGGTACCAACACTCTTATATGGGTGTGAAGCTCGGGTTGTAAACGCTGCAGTGAGGAGGCGGCTGGAGGCAGTGGAGATGTTCTGTCTAAGGGCAATGTGTGGTGTAAATATTACGCAGAGAATTCGGAGTGTGGTAATTACGAGAAGGTGTGGAGTTAATAAAAGTATTAGTCAAGATTGCTGAAGAGTGGTTATTGAGGTGGTTTGGTCATTTAGAGATAATGGGTCAAAGTAGAATGACTTGGAGAGTGTATAAATCAGTAGGGTAAGGAAGATGAGGTAGGGGTCGTCCTCAAAAAGGCTTGAGGGAAGGGTTCAAGGAGATTTTGTGAGCCAGAGGCTTGGTCTTCCAGCAAGCATGCATGAGCATGTTAGATAGGAGTGAATGGAGCGCCTCTGCAAAGATAGTGATTATGTATGAGTGAGGTGAAAGTGTTAAATGATGATGAAAGTATTTCCCTTGTGGGGATTTTCTTATTTTTTGGGTCACCCTGCCTCAGTGGGAGATGGGCCGACTTGTTGAAAAAAAAAGAATATTCATTTACATTTCAACATGTATGACATCTAAGCAAGAAAAAATATAAATACTGTAATAATAATAATAAAGGTTCAACATTGATTTTCCTCCATTTCTGGTTCTAACCTTTGCTGAATTATCCATTTTTTTCAGATCAACAGAGGTCACAGTGCACCTCTAATCCAGTAATTATATACTTCTTGTCTCTGTACATCACCATGCTTTATTAATTACTATACCATTAAAGAAGATGGAGAGAAATATAGGATGATTAAGTGGAATGGAGGGATTGAGGGGGTGTCATGCCACAAACCAGTGCCGGAGGCTTGAACATCCAGCAAGCCTGTATGAGCATGAAGGAATTCAGGAAAGAATGGTTGCCCAGACATGAGACAGTTCTAGCACTCAGGAGGGGTGGTGATGTTACAGTTGGAAGGTCGTCTGAACTGTGATGTCAGCATGCTTCTGGTATGACAATGATTGAATAAATGATGGCAAATGTGTTTCTTTATTTTTTCTGGGTCACCCTACCTTAGCTGGAGATAGTTGACAGGGTAAACTAAAATAATAAGTAAATAACATTTAATTTCAACACCTCAGTCTGAAGCTTCCTGGAAAACGGGTCACATGCTTTAATACAAATTTGAGTATCCTCTAGCTTGTTTGGCAGCCCACTCAACTCACATATAGTGTCCACAGGTCAATCCTTGGCATAAGTAGAAATGTTGGGCATGTTTCCTTGCACCTGCTGCCCCTTGTCACCATCAGTAAGTAGGTACCTGTTAGTTAGATGTCCACTGTGGGTCACATCCTTGGCATGGTAGTACACCTTAAATAGGACTGATTTTGAAATGAGCTGAGGTAAGATACTAGCTCTTAGCCTGTAAAATCTGTGTATAAAAAATAGTGAATAACTATACAATCATCTAAATAATTTATAAAAAAAGAAAAAGCATAACTACCTCAATATAAAAATTAACTGTGCCTTCTGCAGTGTCATTCATGTGAAACCAGAACTGGAGACAAGCAGATATGGCTGCAGCAGGTGTCATGATTGGACTCCTGAGTACTGCTGCATCTCCCATCTCATATTTAGTGGGCTCTAAGACCAGCATCTTACCACCTGGTTTGGTAACAGGCAAATTTTTAAACTAGCAAAATTTCTATTTAAAATTTTGTTTTATACTCTGTATATTCCAGGACATCACACTGTACATATATTCTACACCATGGTGGAAAAATTTAAAAGTTAGAAAAAATCACAATAAAAGAAAAGATAATATTTCCAAGTTCCAAGTGACTTAATATAATTTGCAATTCCTTAAATTTAAAGACAGAAAAATGTTTTACCAAGATCTCCATTTGTGTGGTCATTGCTTATGGTTATATCCCAAAAAGCCTCTTCATTAAATAAATGAGTCCATCCACAAAAATTAGAGCCTTCAAAATTGCATTCAGCTGAAAGGAATGTACGTATTTCATTTTAACATACCGTATTTACAAAAAAAAAAATATTGTTAAAAAATATTATTATTTGGGAAATACAGTACTGACCATAGAATCTGAAATTAAAATATAACATTAAGATATAAGAATATTACACTAAGTTTACTAATACTACTGTACATATATAAATATATATATGAAATATTTAACACACCTGCATTACCACAAGTGCCATAATGGATACTAAAATCATCAAAGGCCACAAACGAAGTGTTGTCTTGAGTTTCAAAAATGGCTTGTACTTGTATTTTGAAAAAATTAATGCTAATGTCCACTCTGCCTTCCATCCACTCTGAGACTTGGCCAACAGGTGCTTCCCACACTATTACTGGGGCCTATAATCAAAATATAAATGTCAAATTATGTCAATTAAATACTACAGAATGCTAAGGATATTACTATATTTTAAAATATATTTATTTCAATGCAGGTTTCTATTAGATACATAATAACAGGAAAGTTTTTGTTTAAGTGTAAAATCTGGCAAAAACTCATTTTATGGCAAATAAAGAGACAATATATTTCAATGTTGTATTTTAAGATTATAGACAAGAAAAGGCAAAGAAGATAATCTGAGGCAAATATAATGAAAGTTCATTAACAAAGCATTAACACTGTATATTTATAATATATATACAGTGGACCCTTGCCTAACCAACGCATCGCATAACGTTAAATCCGCCTAGTGATACATTTTAACGCAAAAGTTTTGCCTTCGCTAGCGCTAAAAAACTCGCCCAACGCGATTCATTCTGTTCGAGACCCATCCACGTGTGGCCTGAGTGCGCCTCACTTGTCCCGTGGGTGCCAGTGTTTACAAGCCAGCCACCGCGGTCGCATTCAAATGTACAATCGGAACATTTCATATTATCACAGCGTTTTTAGTGATAAGTCACCATGGGCCCCAAGAAAGCTTCTAGTACCAACCCTGTGGTAAAAAGGGTGAGAATCAGTATGGAAATTAAGAAAGATTTTGAAGGGTTTGGGGCTAACCCTGAGAAGCCTATGCCAGTTGTGGAATCCATTGTGCCTACTTCAAAAATTTAGGAAATATGTGCAAAGTGGCTTGAAGTCCAAACCTTTACGGATGAAAATCACCCTGACACAGCTACTGCAAGCCATGTTGGCAACCTGTACAATGACAACGTTATGGCCCATTTTAAGAAAGTCTTAAAGGAACGGGAGGTACAGAGCTCTATTGACAGATTTGTTGTGCGACAGAGGTCCAGTGACTCTCAAGCTGGTCCTAGAGGCATTAAAAGAAGAAGGGAAGTAACCCCAGAAAAGGAATTGCTACCTCAAGTCCTAATGGAAGGGGATTCCCCTTCTAAACATTAACACCATCCACACTCTCCCCTCCTCCCATCCCATCAATCATCACCAGATCTTCAATAAAGGTAAGTGTCATGTAACTGTACATGTCTTCTTCAGTTTGTGTGTATTAAAATTAATATTTCATGTGGTAAAAAAATTTTTTTTTCATACTTTGGGGTGTCAGGAATGGATTAATTTGATTTCCATTATTTCTTATGGGGAAAATTAATTCGGCTAACGATAATTTCGCCTAACGTTGAACTCTCAGGAACAGATTAATATCGTTAGGCGAGGGTCCACTGTATATACAGTGGACCCCCGGTTTGCGATATTAATCCATTCCTGAGAGCTCATCGTAAACCAAAATTATCGGAAAGCGAATCAATTTTCTCCATAAGAAATAATGGAAATCAAATTACTACGTGCAAGACACCCAAAAGTATGAAAAAAAAAACTTTTACCACATGAAATATTAAGTTTAATGCACAGTTTGTAGTATGTACTCTACTAACAATAGAATACATGATACTTACCTTTAATGAAGATCTGGTGATGATTGATGGGATGGGAGGAGGGGAGAGTGTCGATGTTGTTAATGTTTAGAAGGGGAATCCCCTTCCATTAGGACTTGAGGTAGCAAGTCCTTTTCCGGGGTTACGTCCCTTCTTCTTTTAATGCCACTAGGACCAGCTTGAGAGTCACTGGACTTCTGTCGCACAACATATCTGTCCATAGAGGCCTGTACCTCTCGTTCCTGTATGACTTTCCTAAAGTGGTTCACAACAGTGTCATTGTACAGGTTGCCAACACGGCTTGCAGTAGCTGTGTGAGGGTGATCTTCATCAAAAAAGCTTTGCACTTCAAGCCACTTTGCACACATTTCCTTAATCTTTGAAGTAGGCAACTTCTTCAATTTCTCTATCCCCTCCTCCAAGCAGTTTCCTCAGGTCTGGCCTCTTGCTGTTGAAGATGATCTAGCAGCTCATCAGTGGTTAGTTCGTCATTGTCCTCCTCCACCAACTCTTCCACATCCTCCCCACTAACCTCCAACCCCAAGGACTTCCCCAATGCCACAATGGATTCCTCAACTGGCACAGGAATCCCAGGGTTAGCCTCAAACCCTTCGAAATCCTTTTTGTCCACACATTCTGGCCACAGTTTTTTCCAGACAGAGTTCAAGGTCCTCTTTGTCACTCCCTCCCAAGCCTTACCTATAAGGTTTATGCAATTGAGGATATTAAAGTGATCCTTCCAAAACCCTTTTAGAGTCAATAGAGTGTCTGTGGTCACTTCAAAGCACCTTTCAAACATAGCTTTTGTGTACAGTTTCTTGAAGTTGGAAATGACCTGCTGGTCCATGGGCTGCAGGATAGGAGTGGTATTGGGAGGCAAAAACTTGACGGTAATGAAGCTCATGTCCCCAGAAAGTCGCTCTGCCAAGTCTGTAGGATGACCAGGGGCATTGTCTAATACTAGGAGGCACTTAAGGTCTAATTTCTTTTCAATTAGGTCATTTTTCACATTGGGGCAAATGCATGGTGTAACCAGTCATAGAAAAAGTCCCTAGTGACCCATGCTTTACTATCTGCCCTCCACAGCACATACAAATTAGCCTTGAGGATATTCTTTTGCCTGAACGCTCTGGGAGTTTCTGAGTGATACACCAATAAAGGCTTCACTTTGCAATCATCACTAGCATTGGCACACATCAGAAGAGTAAGCCTGTCTTTCATAGGCTTATGTCCTGGGAGTGCCTTTTCCTCCTGAGTAATGTAGGTCCTGCTTGGCAATTTCTTCCAAAATAGGCCTGTTTCGTCGCAATTAAACACTTGTTCAGATTTCAAGTCGTGAATTCACTGTCTAAGTAATCCTTGAATTCCTTCACATATTTTTCAGCTGCTTTGTGGTCTGAACTGGCAGCCTCACCATGCCTAATCACACTATGTATGCCACTACGATTCTTAAATCTTTCAAACCAACCTCTACTGGCCTTAAATTCACTCACATCACCACTAGTTGCAGGCAATTTCTTTACCAAATCGTCATGCAACTGCCTAGCCTTTTCACAAATGATCGCTTGAGAGATGCTATCTCCTGCTATCTGTTTTTCATTTATCCACACCAATAACAGTCTCTCAACATCTTCTAACACTTGCGGTCGCTGTTTCATAATCACAGTTGCACCTTTTGCAACAACAGCTTCCTTGATTACCGTTTTCCTGGTCACTATAGTAGAGATGGTTGATTGGGGTTTTCTATACAACCTGGCCAGCTCCGACACACGCACTCCACTTTCGAACTTTGCAATTATCTCTTTCTTCATTTCAATAGTCATTAGCACCCTTTTTCTCAAAGGGTTGGCACTAGAAGCTTTCTTGGGGCCCATGGTGATTTATTATGCAGAAACAAGCACCAAAAACACTGTGATAATATAGAATGTACCGAATGCATCCTTAGATGCTAGCATACTGGCTGGCCTGTAAACACTGGCACACATGGGGCAGTTCAGGCCACACGTGGACACGTCTTGGACGAATCGCGTATACCGGATTTTGTAACAGGAACCGAGGCAAAATTTTTGCGTTAAAATGCATCAAATACCGGATTTATCGGATACCGATGGCATCGCGAACCGGGGGTCCACTGTATATATATACAGTGGACCCCCGGTTAACGATATTTTTTCACTCCAGAAGTATGTTCAGGTGCCAGTACTGACCGAATTTGTTCCCATAAGAAATATTGTGAAGTAGATTAGTCCATTTCAGACCCCCAAACATACACGTACAAACGCACTTACATAAATACACTTACATAATTGGTCGCATTCGGAGGTAATCGTTATGCGGGGGTCCACTGTAATATATATATAATATATAATATATATATATATATATATATATATATATTATATATATATACAGTGGTCCCCCGCTTTTCATAGTTCCCGGCAATCGTAAAAAATTCCCCAATCATAGAGGAAATTTTCGTAAAAAACAGGACTCGTTTTTTGATAGGTTGCCGCGAGTCGTAATTCGCCGGGATGCGAAAACCCATGGCGTGGCCGGGCGACACCCCGTCTGGCATTGTTTCCCATGAGCGAAGGTCCCCTCACGTCTCCAGCGAAATATTTCAAAATATTCCATTTATTTTAGTGTTGCAAGTATAAAAAGCACCATGGCCCCAAAGAAAGTCCAGTGCCAACCGTGGTAAAGAAGGTGAAAATTGATTGAATTTAAGAAAACCATCACTAAACAATAGCAATGGTAAAAGTGTGCCGAACTGCCAGGATGTAAAAAAACCCAACACAACCTTATGTTCCATAGTGGCCAAGAAAAATGAAAAAAAGGGATGCTGTTGTTGCAAAGGGAGTAACATCTGACAAAAAGAGACACCATACTCGAAGAGGTTGAATTTTATTTTTTGGGTTTGGGGATAAATGAGAAACAATTAGCATGAGATATTCTTAGACTTCTTTTTTTGGAAAGGCGGGGCAGTTGCATAAAGTTTTGGTAAAGAAATTCCCTGCAAATAGTGGTGAAGTGAGTGAATTTAAGGCCACAAAGGCTGGTTTGAGAGATTTAAGAACCGTACGGGGCTACACAGGTGGAAGGGGCTTTGGTGAGGCTGCCAGTTCGGACCAAAAGGGCGGCTGAAAAAATGTGCATGAATTCCAGGAGTACAAGAGGTTAAGGGACTGAAACCTAAACAATTTTTTCAATTGTGACGAAACAACCTCTTTTGGAAGAAAATCCAAAAGAAAAACCTTCATTACACAAGGGGAAAAGGGGCAATGCCATGACACAACCCTATAAAATAGGCTGACGCTAATGTTCTGTGCTAAGGGCTAGTGGGATTCAAAGTGAACCATTACTATTGTACCATTCTGAAAATCCCAGTGTTTTTTAGGAAAAAAAAATTGTGAAGATAAATTTTGTTGTTTTTTGGGAAAATCTAATGTAAGGCATGGGTCAAAAGGGGAAATTTTTTTCGCGAGTGGTTCTTTGAATTTTTTGGCCCT